ATTTCATGTTTGGAAAAATGGAAGGTCAGCTAGAGAAGGGAAGATCCTCAACGAGATGCCCTGACAGCGTAGCTTTAACAATGATAAACAGTTTGTGAGGATGGTCAGGACTGGGCAAGGATTCCTTCTGTTGAATGTAGAGTCCTTGGCTGGAGCCGACTTCAGGGCACCTGACAGCAGCCATGAGCCCGCTCTAACAATGGCTTAAGATCAGAATGGGATTAGGTGTGACTCTCACTTTCTTTCTTTTTTAAAATTTATTATTTTAATGAAAATTTACAGAGACTTTGGGTTTCCATTCACTCATTGTTGCACTTTTCTCCCCTCCCAGCCCTCCCCCCTAGTACACTACCCTCTTGGAAAAGTAAAAGACAAATTCTTTCACTGTTTTACAAACCCTCCCCCCAGGTCCACTCCACTATGCAGTCTTCGCTCTGGACTCCTTTCATGACAAAAATACCTAATCACATATCCCTCTTAACCAGTTTTCTCCCTTATCTGTTTCAATGCAGTATACATTATTGAACCCATCTTTCTCAGTCTCCTCCCAACCCTGATGTCAGTCCTGTTTTACAACCGTGGTACCATGCAGTATTTATCCTTTGTGACTGAGATACTTCACTCAGCATAATGCCCTCCAGGCTCACCCATTTTGAATAATATTGCATTAGTTCCTTGTTTTTCAATGCAGCGTAGTATTCCATTGTGTGAATATACCACAGCTTCTCTGTCCATTTGTTTGTTGATGGGCACTTAGGTTGTTTCGAACTCCTTGCTATTGTGAACAAAGCCGCAGTAAACATGGGTGTGCGTATATCTGCTTGGATGTCAGTTATATCTTTTTGGGATATATTCCCACTCTCACTTTCTTGATAAGCTATAGCTACATGATTTAACATTTATCACAGTAAGTCTGTGTTGCTTTGATATCAGACTAAGCTAAATATATTTTGAATGCACATAAGCAGTTTTCACATTAAAGTGATCACAAGGCACGATGAAAACAGGGGTGCATATGCTTACTAACTTGTGGGGGGAGTGACAGAGCTCTGGCTGGTGTGGTAGTCAACATTCTAAGGTGGCTCCTCAAGTTATTGTCCTCTAATGTCGTACTGTCAAAAGCCGAACTGCAATTCCAAAGGCACGCGGTTCAAGGCCACCGGCTGCTCCACGGGGAAAGGATGGGCAGTCTCCTCCCGCCGATTAACTGCCTCTGAAAACCTGCTGGAGGATCAGCTATGGGTCGGTTCTGACTCGATGGTACACAACAACAAAAATAGATGTACGTCCCACTTATTCAAATAAACATTGATGTGAAGGAATTTTCTAGATGTCCATGGCAACAATTTTAAGTCCCTAATTGTTGTTATGTGTCATCGAATATGATTCATTGTGACCCTACGAACAGTAGCTCTGAACCCTGTCCTATCCTGTGCCGTCCTCACAATCTCTGACACACTTGTGTCTGTTGCTAGTCACTATATTAGTCCACCTGGTTGAGGGTCTTCCTTTCTTTCTCCCTTCCACCTTTCTAAGCATGAAGTCTTCTCCATGGAATAGCCTCTCCTAGCAGCATGCCCAGAGTGTGTAAGATGAAGCTTTATCATCTTTGCTTCTAAGAAACACTCTGGCTGCACCGTCTCCAAGACGTGTCTGTTTATTCTTTTGGCAGCCCATGGGATATTTAGATACCACCATTCAGAGGCATCACATTTTATTCTACCATCCTTAATCATTGTTTAGCTCCCAGATGCATAGCAAGTGATTGAAAAGACTATGGTCTGAATCAGGCGCACCTTTGTCCTCAGACTGACATCATTGCTCCTCCATAATTTGGAGAAGTTCCTAACTAGTTGACTTGAAATTAGGAAAGTTATCATGGGTGGATATCATCTAATAAAGTGAACTCTTAAAATAATTCAGAGAGATTTTAAACAGAGCCTCATTACAGGACTTGAAGTAGTAGCAAACACAGGAAGTGTGAGATGATAAATTGGCGTTGTTTGTGCTCAGTTTGTCATGGAACAATAAAAAGTTAATACACTTGGTATAAGTTCCCTGGGGTGGATTCTGACTCATTTATGACCCTCCATCAGATTTCCAGGGCTATAAATATGGGAGGAGACTTCCCATCTTTCTCTCATGGAACATCCTTTTGGTTGGCAGCACAACATAATACACTGTGCCACCAGAACTCCCATGCACCACACCCCAGCTGGTATGTTAGGTACCAGCGAGTCAAGTATAACTCATAGTGTGACCCCATGAAAAATAGATCTGAACTCTGTTCTATCCTGCGCCATCCTCACACTTCCTGACACACTAGAGCCCATTACGGTAGTCACCATGTCAGTACCTGGTCAAGGACCTTCTCCTTCGCCAGCCCTCCCAGCATCATGTCCCTCTCCAAGTAATAGCCCCCTCCTAGCAACATGTCCAAAGTATGTGAGGCGAAGCTTCATCATCTTTGCCTCCAAAGAGCACTCCAGCTGCACCCTCTCCGAGACGTATTTGTTTGTTCTTTTGGCCGCTCATGAGATATTCAGTGCTCTTCTCCAACATCACAGTTCAAAGGCATCTATTCTTTTTCTGCCATTCTTATTTATTGTCCAGCTCTCAGATGACCTGGATCAGGCATATCTTAGTCTCCAGACTGATGTCGTTGCACTTCAGTACTCTAGAGAGGTCTCTGACAGCCGACTTTCCCAATGCAATTGGTCTTTTGATTTTCTGGCCCCTGGTACTAAGAGTGTTGATTGTGAAGCCAAGCAAACAAAATCTGTTAACAATCTCAGTCTCTTCTCTGTCTATCACAATGCTGCTGTTTCCCTAGAGGTGAGAATCTTTGTTTTCTTGATGTTTAGCTTTCAATCCATATTAATGGATTGCAGCAAGTGCTTCAGTATCAGCAAGCAGGGTTGTGTCATCTGCCTAACAAATGATGAGATGATCAATAGTTGTTGACAAGTCTTTCTCCAATCCTGATGCCACATTCCCCCTCATACAGCCCAGCCTCCCAAATGATATTTTCTGCATATAAAGTTAAAAGGTAGGGAGATATGATATCCCTGGTGTATATCTTTCCAGTTTTGAACCATGCAGTGTTTCCTTGATCTGTTCTGATGATTGAGGCTGAAGAAAATGAAAATAAGTCCACATGACCAGTGATATTATCTTAAATCAATTCCATCTAATTTCAAGATCATTTTAGGAATACGTTTGAGCATTGAACACCAATGATCAAAAACCAGATGAGTTGTAGGATGATATCAAGGGTATCATCCATGAAGAAAGCAAAAGGTCATTACAAAAACAATCTAAACAAACAAAAAATCTAAGTAGATGCCAGCTGCTATGGGGTATCGGAATTGCAGCCTCACTTAAGCCTGATATTAAGGTATTTTTTATTTTTAACAAACAATGGATACCTGAAAAGTAAGTAATGGATTAAACCTGGTGCCAAAAAGCTGTATTCTGTCAGTATTATCTCAGAAATTCCTTTTTTTCTCATTACTGAAGAGTGACTATGTCTTTAAAATATGGGGCTTTCCAGAAATAATTTTACCAATCTTTCCTTTAAGGATGTCACTGATAGAGCCCCTGATCATTTTCAGTCTCTTGCCCAGCAAGAGTTGTTACCCCAGAGAGTTATGTCAAAACATATAGTCTGTAAGGAGTTGTGTTTCTAACCCCAAACCACGTCTCTCTCTGGTTCTTCCCAGGTGAGTTGCAGTGTTGGAAACCCAAGGGCGGGTCAGCTGGAAGCCCAGTGGAGGGAAGAAAATGACTTGATGGCAGTGAGTTGGGTTGTATGGTGTGTCCTTTGGATCAGGATTTCCAACATGTCAATTCTGATAAGTTTTGAAATTTAGTGTTAGAATCATCTGGGGGACTTTAAATCTACTGAAGTCTCAGTCTCTTGTACCCCACCAGTTTCTGGCGTGGGTGTGGATATTGGTATGTTCAGAAAGCTCTTCAAGTGGTCCCAATGTACAGTCAAGATGAAAAGCTTGGCATTTGTGATGTAGTTAGGTGCCATCAGTTGAGTACAACTCATAGTGACCCTATGGACAGCAGATCTGAACCCTGCCCCACCCTGTGCCTACTTCACAATCTCTGACACACTCAAGCCCGTTGCTGCAGTCATTGTGTCAGTCCACCTGGTTGAGAGTCTCCCTCTCTTTCACTGACCTTCCACTTTCCAATCATGATGTCCTTCTCCAAGGAATAGCTGGCCTCTCCTAGCAACATGCCTAAAGTATGAGAGACAGATCTTTATTGTCTTTGTTTTCAAGGAGCACTCTGGCTGCACCTTTTCCAAGACATATCTGTGTTAAGACTCTAACATACTTTGTTAAACTTCTCATTTGGATTCTGTAGGTTTGGGTTGGGTCCCGAGGGGCTGAATTTCTAACCTGAGTGATTCTGATGCTGCAAACTTGCTTGGAGTAGAAAGAGAGTGTGGCATTCCTCTTCCAACCAAGTGGCCAGTCTGGGTGTCTGACCTGTATACTCCATTCCTGTGGCTGCATGGGGTGATTCATGGTCCTCTTCCTTCCATTCATTCTGGCCTTTCATCATATTTTTCTCTCTTTTTTTACTTTTGCTACTATTGGCCTGCCTTAACCACTCTGCTCACATCCTTTCTCCCTTGGATTGAACTACATCTGGTCATTCTGCATTGTGTCTTCTTGATGAAAAAATATCAGACTCACCCATACAGATTTCCCTCTTTCACACGAGAGACCCATCTCATGCATTTAAAATGAGATGGCCACATTTAATATTCACCTGTAATGAATGAAAAGCCATTGTTTTTCATCTCTGTAAAACACCAGCTGAAATAAAAATTCACCTGTAATGAATGAAAAGCCATTGTTTTTCATCTCTGTAAAACACCAGCTGAAATAAAATTTAAGAATGTTTTATTCAGAGGAAAAGAAATATCACAGACTGCACTGAAGTATGGAATTAAGAATTATTTTTACTTCTCCCTTTAGAGTATGAAGCTGAGCTGCCTCTCCCTCCAGAGAGGTATAAAGTCAAACAAGAAGCCCTGATCGATGTGAGTATCTCCCAGCCCCTGATTTAAATGGAAAGATCACTGACAGCAGTTCAAATGTCCTGAGTTAGGGAGGGGTGACGGGCAAGACACAAGAGCTAGAATCTGAAACCTAATGCTAACAGTGTGACTTCAAGTGCATCATGGAGTCTTTTTGCGTCTTAATTCCTACATCTGTTAAATGGAACAGATAATCCTCAACTAACAGGCTCTTTGTGGAGTTCAGATGAGATCCTAGATGAGAAAGGCCTTGACAGGGACAGTGTTGGACAGAGCAGAGTCAGGGACATTGGTGAACAGAGCTTTTTCTGTGCATACCAAAGCAAGAAAGACTTCCAAAGAGAGAGGGCTGAGGACAGGAAGTCAGGAAGAGAGGCCCTCAGCAACTGCACCTGAGAATAAAATAGGGAGTTCTGGTGGCTAAGTTTTAAGAATCTGTGCTGCAGTCCTGAAGGCACAGGGTTCAAATCCACCAGCTGCTCCACGGAAGAAGGATGAGCAGTCTCTCTCCATGCAGTTACTGCCTTTGAAAACCACTGAAGGCTCAGCTATGAGTCAGTTCTGACTTGATGGCATATAATAACAACAGGGGCAGTTAGGAGTCAGTTCTGACCTGATAACACAGAACAACAAAAAATGGAGTTTAAAATAAGGAAAGGCCCCAAGAGAGAAGGGTAATTAAACTGGAAATAAAATCCAAGGCTTTAGATTTCAGGTCTGTTACAGCAGCTTGGATTTTTTGTTTGTTTGTTTGTTTTTGTTGATCCTCTTGACCACTGTTAGGTTTAGGGCCCCCTACTTCTGCTTTTAATAGTTTTTGGTAAAACATTCTTCTGAGTGGTACAGCACTGCTCTGTCCGTTTGCTGTGTAGAGGTAACTCATGGTTGCTGTGATGCTGAACACTGTGACCCTGATGTGTCAAATGTGATAATGGTGACCGACCCATGGTGGACAGTGTTTGGTGGAGCTCTCCAATTAAAAAAGCCTGGAAGCAGGAGTGGCATCCACTTCCGAAATGGCTTGCCTCCAGAAACTCTATGAACTTGGAGAAATTATTAGTTATACAAGTGTTCAGGTCTTTCCTTCATAGAGTTGCTCTGAGTAATCTACGACTCAATGTTGCTTAACCACTACCACCACCACGACAACAACAACAACTCCTTGTCAGACTGTTTGTTGTAATTTTTTTTTTTTTTTTTGCAAACCAGTCCTCCACTGTGGGTGCAGTAGGTACAAAATGCTGATACAAGTCTAACCTTGTGTGTGTGTGTAGGGTCCGATTGGGAAGGGGGTGAACCAGGCAACAGGCTAGTGGAGCCCAGTAGAGTCTCACTGCTTGTTATCAGAAGCCATTTACACTTCTGGTCCCACACCATTCTCAGTGTCTTTGGTTGAGTCCATTGTTAAAGCCACATGTCATCCGTCTTCTTTTGCGTCTTTTTCTTTTTCACTGTGTCTCTGCTGTCCTGAACATGTCATTTCCAGGGACTGTTCCTTCCTGAGAACATGTCCTTAGTATGTGGGACAAAGTCTCTGCTGCTTCTGGGGAACATTCTCACTGTATTTCTTCCAAGACAGATACTCTTTTCTTTCTTTTTTTTTTTTAGCAGCTTACCATTGAATCAATATTCTTCACCAAGACAACATTCAAAGCCATGGGTGATTCTTCAGTCCTCCTTATTCATTGCTTTTGCATGCATGTGAAGCAACTGAAATACCATTGCTTGATTCAGGCACATCTTCATCCTCAAAGTAATGCCTTTGCTTTTGAACATTTTGAAGAAGTCTATTACTGTAGATTTTCCCAGTGCAGTACATCATCTGATTTCTTCTGCACCTTCCATGGGTGTTGATTGTGAATCCAAAAATCCTTGATGATTTCAGTATTTTCTCTACTTACTATGATATTACCTATTGGTCCAGTTGTGAGGAATTTTGTTTTATTATGTTGTGATATAATCTACACCTTGAAAGCTGTTAGTCTTTGTTTTTCAGAAGTGTTTCAGGTCCTCTTCACTTTCAGCAAACAGTGTTGTGTCATCTGCGTATGCCAGGTTGTTGACAAGCCCTCTTCCATTCCTGATGCTACACTCTTCTTCGTTATTTGCGAAACATACAGATGGAATATGTATGGTGAAAGAATACAGCCCTGATGCACACCTTTTCTGGTTTTTATAATTTTTTTAATTATTAATTTTAGTGAAAGTTTACAGAGGCTTTGGATTTCCATCCATTCATTGTTGCACTTTTCTCCCTGTTTCACCCCTCTTCCCCCAGTTTGCTCTTCTCTTTGAAAAGTAAAAGAAAAATTCTTTCATTGTTATACAATCCCTCCCCCCACGTCCACTCCACTACGCAGCCTTAATTCTGCACTCCTGTCATGACATTAATACCTAATCATAATATCCCTTTTAAGCAGTTCTCTCCCTCATCTGTTTCAATGTAGTATACATACTTTATTCTATCTTTCTCAGTCTCCTCCCAACCCTGACATCAGTCTTGTTTTACAACAGTGGCACTATGCAGTATTTGTCCTTTTGTGACTGAGATATTTCACTCAGCATAATGTCCTCCAGGGTCACCCATTTTGCATAATATTTCATGAGTTCCTTGTTTTTCAGTGCTGCATAGTAATTCCATTGTGTGAGTATACCAGAGCTTCTCTATCCATTGGTTTGTTGATAGGCACTTGGGTTGTTTCCAGCTCTTTGCTATTGTGAACAAAGCCGTGATAAACATGGGTGAATATATCTGCTTGGGTGGCAGTTATGGTCTGTTTGAGGTATATTCCCAGTAGTGGAATTGCTGGATCAAATGGTATTTCTATTTTCAACTTTTTGAGAATGCACCATACAGCCTTCCATAGTGGTTACACCATTTTACACTCCCACCAACAGTGAATAAGGGTTGCAGTTTCTCCACAACCTTGCCAGTATTTGATATTTGCTGTTCTCTTACATTTTGCTATGGTTACTGGGGTGAGATGATATCTTGTAGTTGTTTTAAATGTTATCCTTTTATAAGGCTATTCTAAAAAAATTGCAATTACTTAAACGGTTTCAATTGGCTTCCCTCCCCTCCAGGTTTCCCCAGTGACAGAACCCATTTTTCACGGCTTCAACAGAGAGCACTTCTTCTCAATTCCACATTACACCATGTTCTCTCAGGCCCCTAGTCCTGAAGTGAAGACGAAAACAATAGACCCCAAAACATGTAAGTGAAGAAGGAAGAGTTCATCTTTTATAGTTTTATGCTTAGAATGCTGCAGAATTACAGGCTAGGTGTCCCAAGTATGCCGTCAAACACCAAGAACAACAAATAGAAAAAGAATAATTTGGTTTTGTTTTAATTATTATTATTATTTTATGTAAATAAAATTTTTCTTTTCTACTGGTTTACTTACAAAGCTTGTGTGCATTGTTTTTCACACTAGATCTTTTCCATTTCTTTTATGCATCGCTCCATCCACCCATCAAATTGTGCGACCTTTTAATTCATACTGCCCACCCTCAACCCTCTGCTCCCTCTTTCCCTCTTGGATCCTCATACACGTTCTACAGTAATGGTTTTATACAGTCTTTGACCTTACAGAACTGAGTTAATTTAATTATTATTTTTAAGATATGCCCACTTTTCTCCCCTGATCTAACAGATATCATCAACAACAACCAGCTTGTGGTGGGATGCTTTCCTTTATGTGGACTGTTGTCTTGGTTTTTTGGAAAAAAGGCTGGGAATTTTCCTCCTCAGCCCTGAGGAATGTTTGCTTCTATTCTGAGGCATACGTAGGGTTGCTGTGAGTGAGAACTGACTTGATGGCACATAACAATAACACCAAAAGTTTTTTTGAGAAGCAGGTTGTGGGATAGGAAGGTCACTCAGATTGTTTTCTATCCGAGAGGATTTATTCTTTAATCCAGGGCTTTTGCTGGGACTAATAGATGTTTTGGTGACAGAAATGAGGTTGGAGATTAGAATGATAGAATTCTGGGCGACGCAGCACGAGGGCGACGCAGCGCGAGGGCGACGCAGCGCGAGGGCGAGGC